TCTGAAATTCCTTCAACTAGAAGCATCTGCCGAAAAAACCGATGCCGGTAGCGACAAAAACTGCGACGAACTCTGCAAAAAACGCATCTTCGCACGGGCAGCCCGTGCGTTGGCCATTTTTTTTTACAGTGGAATAGAGATCAGCATGAGTTTTTGACTGTTATTAGGTACCATACAATTCAATTCGTCGCATTCTGGTCGACTTATGTGCGGAATCACTGGCTGGCGACTGCGCAACGCGAATCTACTTGCATCTGAAATGTCCACCTATAATACTGAAACACCGCAAAAGTGCGGGAGCAAATGCTAGAATAAGGAACACTGTTGACAATTTTGACAGTGACAATGTTCGACAAAGGCAAGAATATTTTCTCATTTCTTTTGAACGATTCTGTACATAGGCGGATCCAGGAACAACTCCTGAAGAAGGGGAGGGTGGGAGGGGAGTGCGGGAAGGAAAGAATCCTCCCACCTTGGAATCATGCAAAAATTAGGAATAGAGTTAGCACTCTTCCCCTTCCACCCCTACAGATCCGCCTATGATTCTGAAGCAGTTTGGCTAGTAAAATAACTTTTTTCAGGACCATTCCGGAAAAGGAAGGCGATGAGAAAAATAACTGCTCTGCTATCAACGACAGCCCGTACTTTTGCTTAGAACTGGCGGACGATGTATCGGTACTGTGCATAAACATCAAAAATAATGGTTTACGCATTAAATATAAATTTTCCGCTGTTCCAAAGTTTTATACCATAATTTGAACACCACATGTATAAAGGACTACCGATTTTTGTTGATGAATTTTTTGATGTTTAGGCACGAAAATAATTTTTTTCAGGACAACAAACTTTACGAAATGCTTAGTCGTTTGCTAATGCGCACCGCTTTGCCCATTGAATTTTCGAATATCAAATTCAATTATTTCGACGTTACAGAGTAAGTTTTTTTGGACGGGTAAAGTTGCCCATTCATCGGACTGCTGCTATTGATAAAGCAAATTATTGTGTGCAGAAGGTCACGTTTTCAGCGTGAAGCAAGGGTGAAAAGTTTTTAGCTTTGTGCAGGCTCTTGTCAGGGCATCCCAATGTGCTCTTTCCTATTCGTGCTCGCCGGTGAGCTGCGAGCTTTAAGTTGGATGAGGATTTTGAGTTCAGTAGCTGTTCTCGTTTGCAGATATGTGGATGCCCCTGTGCGAT